CATCGATGATTAACCAGATTATTTTGAAATTCTTATAGTATCACTACCGATTATATCGATTGTCAACTCAATCACAGCAATCTTGAATTCAATTAGATAGTTCACCCAGTATTTCTCCATGATATATATAAAAATTATATATTTTTGAAATCAACAAAATTCACACTTCAGAGATATACAATGAAATAATTATAGGAAATGTTTCAGTAAAAAGAAATAAACATTTGTATATTGAATAATGAAGATATTATTTTCAGACGGCACCATTCGACAAGAACAACATCTAATTGAATATTTTGTTTTGGAGTTTCCGATATCCCATTAGGAGTTTTCTAACTGGGCAGTTGAGGAAAATTGGTGTGCTATTATAATCAATCATGTCCAATCTACCAGAAATATTTTAAGTTCTCCAGCTGTACAGGTTGTGAAAATAGAGTTCGCACCAATCTTCTAATTTCAAATGGATACCAGTATACTATTTCGATTTCGAGATATCTCGTTTTTTCTGAAAATAGTCACCGTCGTAGTAGTTTACGAAAATATTTCTTGAGTTTTCGCCAATTTCTCCATGTCACATCTGAAAATCGACCACGCTCATATGGTACAGAATGTGACCATCGATATGACATCCCAGACAGCACTGTATATTCCTAGAATATTCTCTAAATATGCTAAAGAGGAGGAGTATATTCCGAATATTCATCGATTATTCCTAGAATATATACATGCCTCTGGAACATGTTCAGGGAATATTCAGGTATAAATTTTCCAGGAATATTCCCAAATGAATATTCTCTCTTGAATATTCATGAAATATTCCCAACTGAATGTTCTGTGGGGTATATTCATGAATATTCTCAACTGAATATTCTGTGGTGTATACTCATGAAATATTCCATGAATATTCCTGTTTCTCAACACAAAAATACCAATCATAATTTCAGAGATGTGAGTATCGAACATCAATCAGAAGAAAGGAGATTTTGAAACAAAAAGTGTTTATGATCCGATTTCGAACAACGCTGTCAGAAGAAATTGATATGTACAATATTATTCAATTCGATTACTGACCTAGTGGTCAAGGCGTTGCTCTGATAGTCTTGAGGTCACGAGTTCGATTCCAACTTGGATCACTTTTTTTATTTTAGGATATGTTTATTGGAATATTCCAGTTACATTCAACATAGAAAATTCTTTTGGATATATTCTATGAATATCTGAGGAATTCCCATTCGCATATTTAGAGAATATTCCACAGATATTTCGGAATATTCCAGATTATTTCTAGAATATTCCAATATTCCAAAAAGAATATGATAGGGGGATTCATGGAATATCTGGTGCTGTCTGGGATCAGGAGTTAGATTAGACTTCCAGCCAACTCTTTCACGAATTTGGTGCTCAAATTTCGAACAGTTTGCGCAAGGTAGAAATATTTTCGTAAGCTACTGCGACGGGGACCATTCTTAGTAGTTATACTATAAGTATTTCAGAATATTTGGCTAATACATCGATAGCTTGTTGCATAATCATTACAAAGATTGTCACTTCAACAGATGAAATAATCCGACCGCGAAACGGCAGGATACTTCTGTTGAACTGACAAGATTTGTAATTATATGCAGGAAGTTTGAGATGTATGATCTTGAAGATTTTGAAGCCCGAATTGTATTCGATGCGATCATTTTTTGAGTAATTCTGAATGCATGTCAAAATTTGACGACGCATTTCCTTGGTTTGTAACGATATGAAATGGTTACTATGGAAATGAAAATAATTCCAAATTTCTGATTGGTGGAACAACTCTAAGTATATCCACGTATATTCGAAATTATACAAGATAGTTCAGTTCAATAGAACGTTCTGATTAGTTCAAAACCATACAAAGCAAATAATCGGAAAAACCCATATAAACTAGGTACTCAACACCAATTTCGTCGTACACCAAAATGTCGCCCCTGTTATAATGTGAATAACTTTTTTCAGTTTGGAACAATTTGAATTTGGCTCGAACTGTTCGATAGCCCAGTCCTTCAGCTATAATCTCGTACTCCATCGAAACATAAGGAAATTCACATAAAATCTCTACATAGTGTTTTCCGACACTGTGCAAAATTTCGGAATATTCAAAGGCTCTCAAATGGTGAAAAAATGTTTTCCTCAACTTCGACAACAGAGGAATGAAGATGATCTCATTACCTCGAGATATTTCGCAAATCAACTTCCTATCTCTCTCATTTACAGAGTGATCTCAAAAAATCATCTTTTTGGTTTTGCAGCTATAACTATTCCCCACGTCAACCGATTTGGGAAATCATAGGCTCATTTTGAGAATAAAACTTCAGATGAAGAGATCTGAATATCAGAATTGACTCAAGATGGCTATCAAAGATCTAGAGTTTTCTTGAAAGTGACCCAAATCCGGAAAGCCCTTATTCGAATCCCGGTTGGGAGGAGAATTGAATGAAAATCAACTTGTTCTCGAAAAAACAATTCATTCTGGATGCGTCCATATTTTCCTCGTTCTCAGTAGTCAAGAATTGTGCGTGAGAAAACACAACTGAAAGATGTTTTTGCAGAAACATTCGATTATTTCTCCTCTGTTATGCATGGCCCGCCGTAACAAACGTTACAAGAACCACAATGAGTGACTGACAAACCCGACCAGCTGAGGCTCATCATGAATGGTGTACCAACAAGAGCCACGTATTTTGATTTTTTCTGATAAAGTGATTTTTTCAACAATTGTCACGTGAAGTACATGCGATTTAAGAATATGGAAAAGTATTCAAGCGAACAACGTTTATTTATTGTAAAAACACATTTAAAAAATGGTGAAAGTTTCACGAGAACAGTTTGCCAATTACGTAAAGTTTTCAGTCGCAATAATGCGCCGAACGAATCGACAGTAATAACCAAACAATTCGTATTGAGAAAATGGCGGCATATTCAAATCTGGTGCTATTGTTGGGAAACCCTATACAATAGCGATTTTTTTCTCAATAGTGAAGCATTAATTGTGTAAGTAAGCAATAACAAGACAACAAATCTCATTGAATTCTAATTGAACAACAACAAAATGAGAATAACAATATGAGAAATCAAAAAAACAATAAAATTCAGTAACTAGTGGGTCCTCTCCTTTGGGCAATCACTTGATTGACCCTATCGGGCATGCTGATTATCAGCCTATCAATAAACTCCTGGAGAAAAGCTGTCCATTCTTGCTGTACCGCATTCACCAAGTCATCCAAATTTTCCATTCGCCCTTCTCTTTCTTTCAATTTCAGTTTCATAAGACTCCAAACATGCTCTATCGGATTCATATCTGGAGACATAGGCGGCCAGTTCATTCGCTCAATGCCGTGATCCCTCAAAAAGTCGCTGACAATGCGAGCCCTATGCGGTCTCGCATTGTCATCAACGAGAACAAAGTTGTCACCCACATTTGCAGCGTAAGGGACCACGATATCTCTCACACACGAATCTCTATACCTACCTCTCACCGTTCATACTCTCTCCTCTCAGAATCACTAATTCACTCCTCCTATTCATTGATATTCCACCCCACACAGTCACTCCTCCACCTCCAAGAGCCACCCTTGCCTCCATAGTTTCTTCCATAAACCTTTCATTTCTTCCTCTCCATACCAACACACGCCCATCTTTGCGAAACAAGTTGAACCTACTCTCATCCGTAAACATACACCTATTCCACTCTGCTATTCCCCAGTT